AAAACATCATTTTATAAAAGGGGTTTGTTTTTTTTTTTTTTTTTTTAGTTTTATTCATTTCAAACGAGCCGGATCCGCCAGCGGGCCTTAGTTTGCCCACGGCTGATCTAAGCCATTATGGTTTTAAAGGGCTGTTGACAACATAGAGAGAGAAATGGATGAATAGCAAATGCTTCCTAATAAAGAAGGCACCACCACCAGACTTTGGTGTGTGAGAACTGAACCTGAATGTGATCAAAGTGGCCAGCACCAACTGCTCATTTACAGGATGTACAGAGAGGCGCATGCTACATGACTCCACAGAGATGTAATCGGGAAACGTTAGAAGACAAATGACCTGGTTTCTTCAACAGACTGCAAGTCACAGAATGATTTCGGCTCTGAAGCCTTCCCCTGGATCCCTCCTCCAGCTGTCCTCCAACCTATACTGGCAGACCCACTCCTCCTGTTTGGTGAGTGAAGCCTCCACATCTGGCTGTATACCAGAAAAGCCTACATAGCTCAGGACACAGGTTTCCAGACACAAACCCCAAGTCTGAACCTCCAGGGTCTCCAAGAAACTCAAGCCTTTTGCAAAGGGGGCAAAGGCCAGAGACACAGCCACAGACAAGGGGCTTACTCGACATGATTAAGCTGTCCTCACCCGGCTATGTCTGTGGTACCCTTGTGCAAGGTCAGAAGTCACAAGTCCTCTGTGCCGGAAATTGTTCATCAATCCGTATGCCCTCAACAGTCCCTGCTGTATCCCACCCCTGCCCATTATAGACAGGGAGGCGACTCTGACCTAACAGGCAGCAGCGCGAGGGAGATGCAGGGCTTACCCCCTTTCAGGAGCAACCTACTGGGACAAAGGTCTGTGAAGATAGACAACCTGCCTCCTGCCAGGAGGAAGGGGAACATGCTTAGTGCACAATTAAAGAATCAGAACTCCCACCAACACTTTCCTTCTAGAAGTTTTAAGGTGTTTTTGGGAAATCATCTCTGCACAAAAGTTTTTGGTGTTTGTTTTTTTAAAAGCTAATACAGAAATATATTCTAAAGTACTTCAAACAGCCCCAACTGGTTTGGCTCAGTGGATAGAGCGTCGGCCTGCGGACTGAAAGGTCCCAGGTTCGATTCCAGTCAAGGGCATGTACTGTGGTTGCGGGCACATCCCCAGTAGGAGGTGTGTAGGAGGCAGCTGATCGATGTTTCTCTCTCATCGATGTTTCTAAATATCCCTCTCACTTCCTCTCTGTAAAATATCAATAAAATATATTTTTAAAAAAAGAAAGAAAGAAAATTGTACCAGGTAAAAATCTTGAGAAAATTGATTTCCCCTACACGGTGATATCTTTGTTGTACTCAATGAGGAAGTCTATGTATGTGTGTATACACTGCAAGCTTCTTGATGGGTGGAAGGGTCTTATCTCTATTCCTACAATGAACACACAGCTACGATGCAGTCATTCTAAGTTCTAGACAATAATTACAGGAAACAATGACTCTTCATTTTTGAGAAAAAGCATTCTTTAACACTGCAATGATCTGTAATAGTTACAGTCAGTCAGAAATACTAACCCTGAATATTTAGAAACAGAAGCCAATTAACTTTTGATGTAAGGACTTTGGATCTCAAGTTATAAATGTATCACATTCATATTTTCTAGTGATTTTAAACTGCTTACCCCATATTTATTATTATATAGACATTTTACAAAAATATCTCATAAGCACTGCAGTATATTTAACCATTCACTCATCAAATCCTTACTAGGTACTTATTTTTGCCTCATATTTGCTATTGTGGTAGGACGTGAGGCAACAAAGACAAATAGTAGTACATGGTTTTAGCCTTCCATGAAGTCGCAGACTAGTATAATGATACGGGAGTGAAAAAAGGGCTAAAAGAAGGAATGTTTTTAAAACTTGTTTTTAATGATCTATCTTCCCCACTTTACTACACTCAGTGCCTAGGTACTGTGCCTGGCAACTAACAAACACTAAATGATTTGTGTAATGAATGAATGAAACTCAGATGCAGAATTGAGTCTGCTTTTTTATTTTACTTATACTTCTAATTTTTGTATTTTTCTTGTGTAGTATCAACTAGAAAAATAAGCCCCCCAAAATGTTTCTATTTACTTAATACCATCATCTCTGACCAGGTCACATGTTCCCAGAGACAACGAGCTATTAAAAAACAAAATGGGGGGGGAGCAATGGGGGTAAAAAGGGGACATATGTAATACTTTCAACAATAAAGAGTTATAAAAAAACAAAAGAAAAACACACAAATATCCCCTGCAACCTGCAGCCTGGGTACCAATGAGTGGTGGCAAGTCTCCTGAAATTTGATCAAACAAAAACTCTTGGCCTAAATTATTTTCTATCATTTATATTTGTATGTTTTTCCTGCCTAATGCCCCCATAGTAAGTACAGAGAGCCCTTCCTCAATACAGAAGT